ATAAATTTTAATCGTATCCAGTGTAATGATTTGGATATGTAAGCATCATGATTCATGAGTCTATAACTATTGAAATCCACTACACGTCATTATGCATACTATTAAAACCTAGTTATATGGTGTGCAGTTCAATTTTGTGTGTGAGTTCAAAATTTGTTCAGTCATCTCTTGTTGTTTATCATGTCATTTTAACAAACATCGAGTCATTTTTGTAATCAAAACACTTTTAATCTTCAGGATTGATTAACCTTTATTGCATGTTAGAGTTTGATCAAAATATTTTGTCAATATATAATTCTAAACATTTGTTGATTTCAAAACAACAAAGACACAAAAATAAGACATATTTTGTTAAAGAAAGAGATGTGATCCCAAAACAAAATGCAAAATTTCATACCAATATGTTTGATAATTCATCACCATTCTTGAATCAGTTTTTCTAGCAATATTTGTGTTTTGCCAAGCATTTTTTATCGCATATCATTTTGAAGATATTTGAGGGATAATATAGCCAATGACACTTTTTCACAAACTCCACTTGTCTCTTGCTCACCAACTTTTGAACTCACTTCTTGAAATTCTTACAACTGTTCAATTGAAGTGGCCGAGGACCCTATCATGACATCACATCTCTTGTCTGGATTATACCACCTAGAAAATGGTAGTTGCATGGAATTTGTCAGAGTCTAGCAAAAGTCTGGAATCTAGCAGATGCAGGTAAATAAATTCATATGGAAAAAGAATCTCTATCTTTGGAAAAGACATTGGAGTATTTAATTAGTACTTAAAAGTGTATTTTTATCAAGGTTTTATATTATCATTTTGCACTTGAAGTTTCAATAACTCCTTAACTAAAGCATGTTTTATAATAACATATCTAATAATATAAGATATATTTAATTTGTGGTAAATGTTCATTTTAAATGCAGGCCTATCACATAAATAAAAGGATTAATTGATGAGTTTAAGAACTAAAATTGAAAGAACAAAGATATGGCCAAACTTAGAAAAAAGATGAAATCAAAATATTGTTCGGTAATTGGATCATATCTGGAGCTATAGATCTCGGATTTAGGCCTACTTTATATGAATAGAAAGGTAAGACATAGTGGATCTTCTAACCTTGATATTTGTTGTTATCATTGTTTAATCCTTATTTAATCTTCCAACTCAAAGTTTTCATCAACTTCTTCTTCTTTTTCTTCTTCTTCATTATTATTATTATTATTATTATTATGACTACTATTACTATTACTATTACTATTACCATTACTATTACTATTATTACTGTTACTACTGCTGCTATTATTATTATTGTTGTTGTTGTTGTTGTTGTTGTTACTATTGTTGTTGTTCTTGTTCTTGTTGTTGTTGTATTATTGTTATCTATAATTTATACAATTAACGTCCTTGTAGTTCGACCCCGGTCTTGTCGGGTTATTTATTACTTCGACACTCCTGCACTTGGAAGAAGATATCAATTTTTTAGTTGTGTCAATAGTTGATGATACAATGCAACTTCACTAGACTATATAATTAAGGTAACCCACCGTTAAGGTCTTCTTTTGATTCATTTGTCATCATTATTCTAAAATCCTTGGCAAAACCTTTAATCTTTCCCATCTTGATAGCTTTGTTCAATTTTTTTTTAGCAATCCACATAACTTCATGTTAATCTTTCAATTTATTGTTGTTGTTTTAGAATTGTTGGAAACCTCTCAATAGCTAGGTAATTCTGGCAGCGGACAAAAACAAAAACATGTGGAATCACACATTGTCAAAACTGGAAGAGAACATGATGAATCTAAAACTTTTCTATTTTCTTTTTGATTTCTCACTAAGGGTGCAACAAAAGCCACCTGTAAAGGGAGTTCTGTTCTGTTGAAGTTTCAGTCTTCGTCATGTTATTTAGTCTAAGTTTGTTTTTTCTCTCTACTTTCGTGTTTTGATGCCAATGCAAGTAGGAGAAATTTTATCATGACTAGAGGTGAAGATTCATGGTAATTAGTGTAAAACCTTGGACAAGTGAAAAATTACTTTCGGCCAAGGATTTGATGGAAATAACATGTAGGATACTTAAAATAGCGGGATTGAAAAATTCACCTTCTTTCCCCTACAATGCCGACAGTTCGGCTTCAAAAAAGGGGAGAACAGAAATTTCAAAGAAATTCTTGTTTTCTTTCACCAAATTGGCATTAAAGAGTGTATACGAGAGGGTAATTGCTATAAAAAATTGATTGAGAAAAAAAGGGTTTGAGAGGTTGGGAACATAGAAAAATAGAGAAAGAAAGTTGTAAAATTGGAGGAGAAAAGAGAAATTCTTTGGATTTCTTGCAAAGGGATTAACAATTTGGGTTAATTGATTGCGGTAAGATGTTTCTATTACTCTAAATGCACTTTCTTTTGTTAATTTTTATGGGGGATTGAAAATCCTCAAATTTAAAAATTTAGGGTTCATGTGTGTTTGTGTTTGGAAAGCTGACATGGTGTAGTTATTGGTTAATTTTGGGTTAGATAAATGGTTAAGGATTAAATTAAAGATAGTAAAAACTATTTTTTTTTTAAATTTGGGACCCTAAGTGGGCGGCCATAGTAGGGATTGTAACGGAATTTGAAAACTTGATTAAACTGTGTGATTTTGATATTTTAAAATGATATTGGGAATGTTTGGAGTTGATATGGAATGTTGTGATGTTGAATTGAAATTAAATTAAATTAAAAAATTGAAGCCATTGTGATCGGATTTGAACACTAGATAAGTATTGAGCCTCTTTTCTTGCAAACATCAAAGACTGAATTGCATAATTATGAAACAGATTTAGCTTTTTTTTCCTTTTAAGATCCCTTGATTTTTTCCGTTTATATTGATTTTTTTTTTCATATTGGACTTGATTTTTTTTTAGTTATTTAAATATAAGGATCCCATGATATGGAGGAAAAATTCTACAGGCATTTAATACTCTGTTTTGCCAAAAACAAAAGAAGAAGAAGAAAACCGTGACGCTCGAGAGATCAATTTAAAAGAAAATCAAGGACCGGAAGAGATGGGCGGGGTAACTTGGCAGCGCGTGCAGGATGAGCCCGTGACGCTCCAGCGATGCATATGGCCTCTTTCGGCCGCATTGGAAACGTCACTACTTCTGCAAGGCCAACAGAAAGTGGAAGTCTAGCCGTGCATTTTATTATGTTGATGGAAGATAATAAACTCCTTGATATTCTTGATGTTAGAGTTAAGGAGTGCTCTCAAAACGAAGAAGTTATCTTTGTTGCTGATATTGCAAGAAGATGCTTGAATTTCAATGGGAAAAGTCGACCTTGAATAATGGGAGATTTCACACCAGAATCGGAGAGGATAACTGGACAGTCTCAAAAAGAGCCAAATATTCAACAAAACTGTAAAATATGAAGAAGAAAAACCTCATGAATGATGCAAGCGATGACTGGGATGCGGCTTCGACATCATTACGGGGTTTTTTCTTTTATGTTGAAAAGTAAAACAGAAGAAGAAAAAATTGTCACTTCCTCTTAAGATTATGTAAAATTCTATGATAATACAATAGTTAAATTACCAAGTAATTGTCCTGTAATTTTTTATTGCGACACTTACTAATATTATAAAGAAAAAATCCTACAATATTCTTGTTCGAAAGCAAAATAAAACAATAATAAAGATTTCGTTTGTTCAAATTTGTCTCTCTAATCTCTTTTTTTTTTAATGGATCTTTCTATCCCTTTTGTATATGTTGATTATGCTGATTTTGCAAGTCAATCGTTTTTAAATTAATTTTGTCAAAGAATAATGTCGTTCGATGTCAACTTCTGCTGTAATGGAGGAGAGAAAAATAGGAGGATTAGGGTCCACACAGAAACACTCAGTCCAGTAACTTAAGTCTGAGATTTCACATTGGAAATTTCGGTTAAGTTTCTCCATGATATAGAATTTCTATACAAAAAATGATTTAATCAACGGACAAAACTTGAAATATATAAGCTTTAATTTAGGAGTTATATTGGGTTTTTTTTTGTTGAAAAGTAAAACAGAAAAATAATAATTTGTAGCCTCATCTTAGATTATTTAAAATTATATGAAAATATAATAGTAAATTATTAAGTAATTGTCCTTAGCTTGTCGTACTTGAATTTTTTAATGATGGGTTGTAAAACAAAACATTTGTTAATATATATATATATATATATATATATATATATATATATATATATATATTATTAGAAAAATAATATAAACACTCAACTCAATTCAGTATAATTCCACAAAACTCAGTGTTTCACTTTTACACTCGATATTTCTCTCAAATCTATATTTTGAAACACTTTTACACTTGATATTTCTCTCAGATCTATATTTTCTCACTTTCACGGTTATACATGCATTCACTGCACACTTCTTTTATACTTGCACTCTCTATATATCTCACTCTCTCGTTTCTATCTCCATTTATAAGAGAAAATGAGAGCTTTGAGAGCAACACATGTGTAGTTTAATAAATACCAACCAACTACTACCTACTATAATAATAAAATCATGGTGGTTGAAAAAATATTGATAAATTTGCTATAATTATAATAAGATCTTGGCACTCAAGAGAAACGACTTTTCTTCCCCTGTTTTATTCATAGCATCGTCGTCTACAAGCTTCCTTTCTATCTTTAATTTCTCTATTCTGAGGTCCAAGACATTTAAGTGGTTCAAAGCCTACTGTTTCTTCTCTTTAGTTTTAGACTAATCGTCTTTAATTTGAGAGTCTTAATTTATAGTCTAGTGGAATTTATACATTATTAATCAAAGCTTGGTAGTTGCGAAGAAACATCCTAGCTCTAAATCCTACAGAAACTTGTGGAAATATTAGCATCCCTTTTCCATTTGGAATAGGAATTCGATTTCAAAAAGATAACCTTCTTCTTGAAACATCCTAGCTCTAAATCCTACGAATACTCGAATTAAAAATATGGAATGCCACCATATTATATATATATATATATATGGATAGATTGAGAGAGAACTTTTCATTGAATTTGCTTCAAATGATTTGGACAGTTCGTTTACTCTTTTAAGGTAGTCTTCTCGGTCTCAATTAGTATTTTTTTTCTTACAAAAATAGGGAGTAAAGAAAGATCTTTCCCCTCTCTCTCTCTCTCCTTCCATTATTGATCTCCAGCAGCATCTAAATCTGCAATAGAAGGGAGGGCATGATTCCTCGTAGTGTCTCTCTAATTTTTCTCCTGCTATTTCTAGTCCCTGAAATAGCAACTGTATCAGCACTTATGACGAAGCCTAATTGTACAGAGACTTGTGGAAACATTAGCATCCCTTTTCCATTTGGAATAGGAACAGGTTGTTCCATGAATGACTGGTTCTCAGTTGATTGCAACAAAACAACTGCGGATTCTCCCAGCAGGGCTTTCTTAAGCAGAATCAACATGGAGGTCTTGGGTATTTCATTAGGGAGCAGTAGGGTTCGAGTAAACAGTCCAATAATTTCCTCCGGCTGTTCTGGTAGAGGTGCCAACTTAGCCTTTGATATGACTGGAAGTCCTTTCGTCTTCTCTTCGTTAAATATCTTCATCGCAATGGGCTGCAACAATCATGCTTTATTGAACCGAATTGAGCCAGAAGTTGTTGGGTGCACGTCAACTTGCGGTGCTAATAATTTGACTAGTTCTATTACAGAAGGCAAAGAAAAGAGGTACTGTTCTGGTAACAATTGCTGCCAGACCAGAATTCCCTCGAATCTGCAGGTGTTCAACGCGAGTTTGGGGACCACAGAGGACCCTAATGATCAAGGAAGAAATCAATGCAAGGTAGCTTTTATAGTAGACCGAGGATGGTCCCTGGACAACATAAAAAGTCCCGAGGCGGTGCAAGATAGGCAGCATGTCCCAGTAATCCTGGATTGGTTTGTGTATAGTGATAACATCCGTGTGGAGAATTCTGATGCAAAGAATTGCAGGCCCCCTGTGCAATTACCTTCTGGTAGGTGGGGTTTGAGTACATTAACATTGTATTCCAATTCAACTACTTGTAGTTGCAACCTGGGCTATGATGGCAATCCGTATCTTCCTGATGGATGCACTGGTATGATTCGAACACGCTTAATGTGATTTTATCTTCTTTTAAAAAAAAAAATGTAGTACTGAAGCTTAAACAGCAGTCAGAAGCTCGGCTTAATAGAATAGAGTTGAAGCATAAATTCACCATGCAATATCATTCTACTTTTGGATGGCTCCCATCACATGAACATACTCACTCATTGGATTTCCTGAATCAGATATCGATGAGTGCAAAAATCTCAATGGAAATTGGTGTTCGGGGATGACAAAATGTGTGAATGTACCGGGTGGGTACAAGTGCGAGCTCGACAAAGCTAAGATCACTTTCTTGAGTAAGTTCCTGTCTCTTAATTCTTTTTTCCTTCGTAATTTATAGGAACCTGAAACGTTGGTTTAGAGGATAAATTGTGTTTGGGAGAGTGGAAATTATATATTTTCCCTTGTCTGAGGGGATGGAAAGGGAGCTACGAGAAAATCGTCGTCCATGACTGCCTTCTTTATCTCCCCAAAATGGATAGAATGAGGCAATGATGATATAGTACTTTCTTAATTATCAATTTACATCTTTTCCCTTCTCTAACCCTTGGTTCTCCTGTAAATCAAAGCATACGATATAATTTTGTTTTTTTTTAATTTCACTCTCTTTTTCTGTTTTAATTAATTAAATATAGACAAGAACTGGATACTTAATGTACAATTATCTATAATTACGCTTTTCCACTTATATGGGAAAATTTCAAATTGTTTGCATGGCCTTTTGTGTGTGTGTTTTTGAAGTGTTTGGCATTGCCGTTGTTATACGAGTATTTTTTATACTACTGGATTCGGTATGTCTGACTTGGAAAGTTCTGCATTTGCACTTCAGTAAGTAAAAAACCATTTGTAAAAAAGAAATTGATTTTATTTGTGGGAATAAAAAGAAAAGTGGTAAGTTAAATGAAAAATTAGGTTAATTGATTTGTTTATTTTTATACATTGTGATTGTATTAAAGAATGATATAAATTATAACTTAAAATCTTAACTAACAGCTTAAACTATTAAGTTGAGATAATTCTTTGACATATTAGATTTATTCTTTCATAAGTTATTTTGAGAATTTTCATTTTAAAAAATTTTAACTCTTCATATGCACAAATATATAGATATTTTCTTTTATATACTCCTTTTTGCTACTTGTTGTATAGAAATACCCCTAGGACCTCCAACATAAAAATTAAGTCTTAAAATATATCAAATTAAAAAAAGTAAAAAATGAAAACTTAACAAAACATGAAAAACCCATAAAATAGAAAAAAAATTTAAAAATTATTCTTTAAAAAATAACCTAAAAATGAAAAAACCTGGAGAATACCAAAACATTTTAAATAGATCATATATATTTTAAAAGAAAAATCGGTTACCAATAAGAAATTTGAAAAATCCATATCCAGTGAAACTTATTGTGTTGCCATGGATATAATTTCTAGTTGTGAGGCTTTGTTCACATTATTTTTTTTATTTTTTATATTACTCAAGGTTTTTTTTTGGGTTCACTTTTCAAATTTTTTTAATGTTTGGTAGGCTTTTCACGCTTTTTATATATTTTTTTGAAATTGTAGTTTTAGGCTTTTCAAAATTAAATTTTCTTTTAGAGGTTGTTGTGGCTTTTTTGTTCAAAATAGTGAGAGGATACATGAGGAAAAAAAAATGTGAATATACAATAACATATAAGAATTTTTTAAAAAAAAGTATATAAAAAAATACACGGCAGAAGGTTACCTCAACCCAAAAAAGATTTAATAATACGTATGTATGCAGCTAACAATTTTTATTTTTTTTCACTGGCGAGCAATGGCAGTTCTAGGTGCGGCCACTGGATTGTTGTTGCTGCTTGTTGGTATTTGGGGGTTATATAAACTTGTAAGAAAAAGGAAGAACATTGAACTGAAGAAGAAGTTCTTCAAACAAAATGGTGGTTTATTGCTGCAGCAACAATTATCCTCGAGTGATGGAAGCATTCAGAAAACAAAAATATTTACTTCCAAGGAGTTGGAAAAGGCAACCGATCGTTTTAATGATAATAGAATACTTGGTAAAGGTGGCCAAGGAACTGTTTATAAAGGAATGCTAGCAGATGGAATGATTGTTGCTGTTAAAAAATCCAAAATAGTGGATGAAGAAAAGTTGGAAGAATTCATCAATGAGGTCGTCATCCTTTCACAAGTTAATCATAGACATGTGGTCAAGTTGCTAGGTTGTTGTTTAGAGACAGAGGTTCCTCTACTAGTCTATGAATTCATTCCCAATGGAAATCTCTATGAGTATATTCATGACCAGAAGGAGGAGTTCGAGTTTTCATGGGAAATGCGACTAAGGATTGCTACTGAAGTTGCTAGGGCACTTTCTTATCTTCATTCCGCAGCATCCATTCCGGTTTATCACCGTGATATTAAGTCTACAAATATACTGTTAGATGAGAAGCTCAGAGCAAAAGTATCAGATTTCGGAACTTCAAGATCGATCGCCATTGATCAAACTCATCTAACCACTCATGTTCAAGGCACTTTTGGATACTTTGACCCAGAGTACTTCCAATCCAGCCAATTTACCGGAAAAAGTGACGTCTACAGTTTTGGTGTTGTTCTTGCAGAGCTCTTGAGTGGGCAAAAACCAATTTCTTATGAAAGGTCGGAAGAGAGGGGAAGTTTAGCCACTCATTTTATTCTTTTGATGGAAGAGAACAAGATATTTGATATTCTTGATGAACGACTTATTGGGCAGGAGCGTGAAGAAGAAGTTATCGCAGTCGCTAACCTTGCTAGAAGATGCCTGAACTGGAATGGAAAGAAACGGCCAACCATGAGAGAAGTCGCGATAGAGTTGGAGCAGATTCGGCTGTCAAAAGGAGCTCTTCAAGCACAACGAAGTAGTAAACAACTCGAAAACATCAGACATGAAGTTCCCAACGTTTGGGAAAATATTGCTGGGCCTCCTACTTCAGTAACAATTGGCGATTTTAGAAATGGCACGGGTCCATCTTTGGATGTCCAGCCATTGATTTCTCACGAAACATGGTGATTAAGTACATCCATGACATTCATGTTCATTTGGTTTGCCTGAGTTTTAGACAATTTTATAATTTTCTCGTTGTATTTCCCTTCATCAGACGTTCCGAAACTCATCGAACATGTATAATTAGTATTTTGTGCCTTGTGGTAGTTCTATCAATTTATGATCTCTCCGTGTGATTTTATCACTCCTTTGATTTTCTCAATCTCATCCGGAAGTTGAAAGATTATATTTTAGTTTCAGTCATAGTTTTTAAATTTGGTCTATTTTGGCTCAGGTTATAATTTAAATAAAAAAAAGATATTAATCCTGTCAAATTTAATCTAACTCAGAAAAATCAACACCAAGTATTTTTTTTTTTAATAAAGAATGAAATAATATCTTGATCCAATGATACAATAATATGTACCACTACAAGATTTTATAGTTTCACCGACGGACACAATCCGTCAGTATGAGATTTAGACTTTGTCGGTAACTTTTTTACCGACTGAATCCCCGATAGAACCTGTCCATCAGCATGTCTTTCGTCGGCAATACCACATTCCATTTCTAAGTTTGTAGGGAAGAAAAATTACCTATGGTTTTACAAATGAAAATACGTGCCAAAAAAATTCCTCCTAGAAATATAGATTTATTTTGTTGGTGATAATAGCATTTTTAGTAAATATTTTTCAACTCTCTATGAAATACCAATAGACTATATCCATTTGTGAAAGCGTCGATGATTGTGTTATTTCCAGTAAATATTTTCAACTCTATGTACAATACCAACAGAATATATTCATCTATGAAAGCGTCGGTGATTGTAGCATATCTAGTAAATATTTTTCAACTCTCTGTAGAATATCAACAGACTATATCTGTCTGTAAATTTGTTAGTGGAGTTTTTTAAAAAAAATTAAAAAATATTTAGAATAAATAATATAAAAGTATATAAATTAATAGTAAAAAAAACCAAGTATGCAAATAAAATTTTATTAAACATCAAAAATAAAAAAAATAAAGTTAAATAATATTCATTACAAATTGAATGTGTTTAAAAAAAATATTAAATTATAACAATGGCGAAGCTGAAGGAGGAGGAGGATGAGGAGGCTGATTGTTCCCGAGGCTATACGGCTAAAAAAGGGGCGCACATGTATCACCACTCTATGATGTCATGTTCATGACCATTTGACAAAATTATTCATAATTCATCGAGAGTTGCTCGTATTTCTCGGTGAGATGAGCCTTGTGTTGTTCATAATTCGCCAATAGTTGCTCGTATTTTTTGGTGAGATGAGCTGTGTGTTGCTGTAAGGCCATGAACTCCTTAGATTGGGTGCTCGATATTGATTGGGAGCTCCCAACAGTTGAGACATTACGAGCCACTCACAAGTTCTTGGTCGTAGTGTTGGAGAGCTTGTACACTTGATTTTTATCGAGTCCACCAAACAATCCTATCTCCATCCACAAATCCATAATGAAATTCGAATGGGTCGAAAGATCATCCCTATATCTCTCCCTCAATCGGCTATTATAAGTCTCCTGAAAATAAAAATAAACAAAGAAATCATCATATTCAATTCAAGAAAAATATAACTTACGAAATAAAATGATTGAATAAACAGTCCACAAAGTGTTGAGCGTGGTTGTCAATGAACTGTTGCACCCCCTTTTAGTGGTTTTCACTCCGCACGTGCGTCTCTACAAACAGCTCCATTGGGCTCGACTCACGTCCAAGAGATGTAGCCTGTAAGAAAAAAATTAATTAGGTAACAACAGATTAAAATAATGACATAATTCATTTAAATTAATCTTACCATTTATTTCCCATATGTAGCAAACAGAACGGAGTCGCCGGTGTGTGTTGTTATCGAACCATGAATTTTTTAGTTTTGGTTGCCAACAATAGACTGTGAGAGTCGTGTGAATCTCTCAGACATCACGTCCTCAATATATTATGGTCATATATCTCTCAGGATGTATAGTGGTTTGAAATCCCTGCAAACCGCCATGTCATTCCATCCTTGGAGACTATTATCTCTCGTGTTTTTGTTTTTGCCTTTTTTTTTTTACTTCATACCAAAAACCACGCAACCTACTTCCATAATGATAAAAATCATATTTTAAAACATAATTTTTTTATAAAAAAATTCATATTGTTTTTGGTGTCATACCTAGTTGCCGAGTGATTTTTCCATACACTCCTCACAACATTGTCAAGCACACTGTCCCAGTCGAATTTGTCATGTATATAAACAATTTATTTAAAATAAAAATAATAGTTTATTTAAAATTATAATAATAATTTATTAAAAATAGGTTGGAAATTAAAAATTAACACTAACCTCAAATTTGTCAAACCATGCATCAATATAAGGTCCTCATTCAGGATGTCTGGAAATCTAAATCCATTGAAATAATAGAATCTTCATCAACGATTTAAACGCCAATGATATTGCTCGGGCAGCCTCAATGTTTGTGAACTTGAAAATGAATTAAATTAATGAAATATATATATATATATATATATATATATATATATATATATCAGATATATAAATTTAATGAGAGTTTGTTTATCTGGATAGATTAATGGAAGTTAAATGATGAATACCTTGCTTTGTGGAATTTGCAAATTGTTTTTCTATTTTACGCTTTGATTACTAGGGACTAGTAATAAGCTGGTTGGGGGGTGTGATTAGTACTTAAAAGTGCATTTTTATCATGGTTTTATATCATCATTTTGCACTTGAAGTATCAATAACTCCTTAACCAAAGCATGTTTTATAATAATATATCTAATAATATAAGATACCTTTAATTTGTGGTAAATGTCTATTTTTAATGCAGGTCTATCACATAAATGAAAGGATTGATTGATGACTTGAAGAACTTAAATTGCATGGATAAAGAGATGGTCAAACTTAGAGAAGAGATGTCGGTGCAATCCAAACCGGAACACTGTTCGGTAAATGGGTCATATCTGGAGCTATATATCTCAGATTTAGGTCCAATTTATATGGATGGAAAGGTAAGACATAGGCCTACAACTTTCATATGGAGCCCAAGATCTAAAAAGGCCATTATCAAGTCCAAATTGTAGAAACAACAAAGAAGCCCGAATCTGTCTTCCAGCCCGAGCACTGTTCGGTATTTTGGCCATATCTGGAGTTCTAGAAGTCCAAATGAGCTGAATTTTTTACACAAGAAAGCTGAGACAATTGCCTACAACTTTCATGTTTGCAACTGGCTCCAGTTTTGACGTTATCAATGACGTTTTGGGCAGACAAGAGAAGATAAGGATTGTCACCAAGTCAAAAGTTGGTCACCCACTTATCAATTAGTCATCAAATCAATAGTTCCCAATTTTGGCCTATAAAAGGAGGCATTTGCCATGCATTTAGGCATCTTGGTGTTCAGATCAAGATCATGCTCTTCCTTTCTCTCTTTGTATTTTTTATGCTTTGTTTTCATTAATATTAAGTTTATGCCTTTCATTTCCTTTCCTTTACTTAGTTAACTTTTATGTTCTTATTTTGTTTATCTATTTTGCTTTCTTTCATTATGTCTAGCTAAGTTAATTATGTCAAGGTGAAAAGGTTACACTAATGGTGTGAGAATAAGTATAATGTAAACTTAATATGGACTTTAATGTTTGATACTAACATGTTTTATATTTGTTATCTTGTTTACTCTTTAATACTTTGCTTGTTAAATGATTAATCTTGATTTATGTTGTATAACACTTGGTACAACAAATGCTTGGCACTTTCATAGCCCATAATGTATGGTATAACCGACACCTGAGCTATGAAAGGAACTTGATTTGTTGTTAACATAAGTTATAATCATGAATGCTTGACGAGATTTACAAGTATTAGCATTAATTGAATAAGATGACTAATGTAATCATGTTAACAATATATAATCTGATTGGAACCTCCTTTGTGTGTGGTTTCCAATTCAATAATAAGAGTTTATACTATACTTGTTTGATATACCATTAGTGGAACCTCTAACCTTGACATTTGTTATTATTATTGTTTAATCCTTACATTAATTTTCCATCTCCCCGTTCTCATCTTCTTCTTCTCCTTCTTTTTCTTTATTATTATTATTATTATTATATTACTATTATTATTAGTATTACAACTACCACTATTATTATTATTATTATTGTTATTATTATTGTTATTTTTATTGTTGTTATTTATAATTTGTACAATTAACCTCCCTGTGGTTCGACCCCGGTCTTGCCGGGTTATTTATTACTTCGATACTCCTGCACTTGGGAGAAGACAACAATCTTTTCGTCGTGTCAGCTACATCCACAGGCAAGTATAGAAGGATTTTACTAAGTAATGTGGGAATTACAACCTCTCTCTATTAATAGGAGAACAACTGAAATATCTCTAATAATATGAGAAAATACCTCACTTACTCTCACAAATACCTCACAAATTTTGTGGGATTATTTTCCCTCTCTCACTCTATTCTTCCTCTCTTATTTCTCTCTTGTGTTGTGCAAATGAGGCAAGGATGCACTGCCTATTTATAGGTAAGAATCCTTGCCTTTGTCTTGCAAAAGACAAAAACAAGGTTAGGTGGCACCAATTGGTGCTACAAGTGGCATCGAATTGGTGCCCATTGTTTTTGACCAAGCTGGTTGTGCCAGCTTGCTTTCACATTCTTTCATTTGAAGACTTTGATGATTTAAGCAAGTCTTCACACTTGATCATTTATGCTTCTTCTATCCTTTCTATACTTACCATCTTCATGTTGCTTACATTTTTGCAAGGCCATAAGAGGATCTACACCATATATACTTATCAGTGTTGACTAGTTTGGTTAAAGCATCTGCTGGGTTTTCCTTTGTGTGAACCTTCTGAAAATCCACACTTCCATCTTCCACCACTTCACAAACAAAGTGATACTGAACATCTATGTGTTTTGTTCTTAAATGAAATGCTGGATTCCTTGCAATATGCAAGGCACTTTGACTATCACAATACAGAAAAATGTTCTTTTGTTTGTGCTCGAGCTCCTCCATAAGTTTCTTCATCCATATTGCTTCTTTACAAGCTTGTGTAGCTGCCATGTACTCAGCTTCTGTTGTGGATAACGCTACAATAGTCTGTAATTTAGAGACCCAGCTCACAACTCCTCTTGCAATTATGAACACATAGCCTGTAGTGGACT